AATAATAATAATAATATTCATGTGCTATCAAGGCCATTCTGACTTATGGCAGCCCTTTTCAGGGTTTTCCAGGTAAGGAACCCTCATAAGTGGTTTACCATTCCCTTTTTCTGGGGGACACCCTGGGACTGTGCAGCTTGACCAAGGCCACCCAGGCTGGCTCTACTCCCATAAGGCACAGTGGGGACTTGAACTCCCAATATCTGGCTCTAAACCACTGAGCTATTCAGCCAGCTCATATTAATCAAATGGTATGGAAAATTATGTTCATAAGCTGCAAGTAATCTGATATATACTTTCTCAAGTGTTATAATAATGCATCCCACACATATCTCTGTAATTAGGGTTAATTAGAGGAAAATACCAGTTATTGTGTACTATCAGTTCAGTTGTGAGGATCCATAACTTCAGCAGGTATCTCCATGCTGAAATGTCGAACTGACCCACATCTTCTACAGATACAGAAGTGCTTTTGATAAAGCAGAACACTGCACTGTCAAAGTTTATGTCACTATAAACGTTTTCGTATTAACTGTACAGTACTTCATATTGTTTTTGCTGCTTGTACCAACATAGGAACAAAGAAGACATGAGTCTAAAGATGGAGCTCCCAGCAACATTTTTTCCTCGTTTTGCTTTAAAGCAGCCACTCTCAATGGGAGTGACATGGCCTCATGGGGGCCCTGGCACTTTTGAAGGGGGACAAAGACAGAACATTTTCTTTTCTATTTTTCTATTCATCTGAGAAGAGCTTCTAAAATGGCCAGATACAAAAAAAAAAAAAAAAAAAAAAAAAANAAAAAAGGATGAGAATGGCTGCTTTAAAGTAAGCTCAGAAGACCCCGATCTGCATTAGGACCCTAATATTGGAGAGGGGCTTTAACCTGAATTAGACCCACTGCACCTACAAAAACAGTGATCCACTCTTGGAATAAACCCATATTTTGCAATATAAATTGCAGGTGCAGTGGACCTGATCTAAATCAGGGCTACAGCAACAGCAGGAGGCATTAAAACTGGCCCACAGGCCTCCTCACCATTTTTTTGGTTCCAATTCAGACACCTATGTTTAGTCTAAAGTAAAGGGATAGACACAGATTTTAGTTACGGCTTTCAAACAACATCTGCTTTGGCCCTAATTCAGCAACCATACTATTCCGAGAACTGTCATTTTATATCCAGGCATTAGGTGGCAACAGTGATACCACTTACGTATCCTTTGTAGCTGGAATCTAGTTCAGGACCTGTTGGTGTCTTACTGCGGATGATGTTTTCTGTTTGCTGTATTTGGAAACGACTGGTGTCTAAAGCCTTGTCAAGTTGGCGAATGTGTGTCTCCAAAGAACTTGGTTCTCCTATAGCAAGCACACAAGGAAAGAAATCACCAAAAAGCTAAGCTACAGAATTGGGTCAGAGCTAAGATATAAGATGGAAGGTGAAGTTAATTAAGTTAGTCAGCATGGCAAAGTTTTAGCGCAGAAGCATGTCTGTAACAAATCAAATCTGTAACTAATTCACTGGTGCATTAGCAACTGCTTTAGAAAAAAGTAATTTTTGAAGGAGCAATGCATATGTTGGTTATCAAGACAATTCATTTTCCAGAAACTATTCACACTGTAACAGTGAACACTTTCCTTGAATTACTGCATCCATAGAGACATTTTTGTAATAGTTGTGGTGTTACGATTAGGCATCTGGAGAGAGCTTGAAAAAGCAGAAAAGTTTGGATGCTACTAGGACTTCCTAAGTGTTGTGCAAATTTTACATCTCTTGCACTTAAGACAGTTGTGCCACATTTCTGTGCAATCATTGAAATCCAAGGTGTTTTACTTCTGAGTAAATATATGCAGAGTTTTACCTCATGAATTGCTAAACAAATGAATAAACAGATCACAGCACTTCATATGCATTTCTGGAAATAGCAGGAACTGTAAGGATCAAAGTGTCACGCTTCCTTGAGAATATACCTCACTTTCTAGCTTGAAAGCAAAATGTTATGCCAGATTCCTTGGACATTTGGAAGCAAATTAATGTCTCCAGTCTTTTGAAAAAGAAACATAACTGCAAAAGTGAGAAAGTGTGAAATTATTTGCTACAAAAAATAAGTTAAAGCATCTCTCCATTAAAGTAAATTCTAGTTGTCTTCATAAGTATATGAGGAATATTCAGTATTCACTTTTCATACTAAATTTCCCTAAAGAATGCCATCTAATTGTGTCAGCTTGCAACGAAACAGATACTACTGGAGAAAATATATTTTCCATCTTAGCAGTGTCCTTCGTGCACCTGAAATTTGTTCCAGAATGTTGGGGGATGCTTCCAGAGCAGATTGAATGGAATAAGGAAGGTGGAAGAGTGGGAAGAGATGCTGTATGAGCAAAGGTCTGCTTGTATGAGGTTGAACATTGCTCAAAATGTATATACTATGATAATTTAAATAGTGAGAAAGTGTTAGAGATTCAGATAACGAGACAGGTGGGCATCATAGAGTTCTAGTATTGTATTCCCAAAGCAATTTGGCTATTTTTTTAAAAAAATCTTCTCACTGTTACTGGTATTGTGCCATTCATCTGTGAGGAGCAAGGTGAGATGGCTAGCTGTGAGTCTGAATATGGGACTAGCTGAAATATGCTCTCAAAACTTTATGACTGCATGATCCACCATGATAGCCAGATCACCTCAAGAGGTTAGAACAAAGCATGGTGTCATATCTTTATGCCAGCTTGCTTGATATGCAACATAAATGATTAGAATACTTGGGGGGGGTACCAAAACCAAAAAATCTTAGCGCTCGTCATTTCACCGATCTATTAAACTTGTTTTTAAAAAATACCTTGCAAATCTATAAAAGAGATGGCATTTTAAAATGTGCTTTTAATGTAAAAAAAGGTCTCTGTTGACATGCAAGTGCTTTTCTGTAAGGATCAATAGCTGTGTTAAGTAGTGAGTAAGACAGCAGAGGTGCTAAGAAGGCACTTGTTATAGGTGCTTTGAGTTCTGGCAATTGTTAGGCTTTTTAATGCCTACCATAAGTATTTCTAAGAACATTTGCAGTAACTTTTACATAGGCCTCAGGGCTCTCAGGGATCACTATATCTGCAAAAATAAAACACAACCAGAGTTGATTGGTTATCAAGAATTACTTGAGGCTCCTTCCTGTGAGATTTCTTAGGCAAGAAAAAACAACCAGTTCTACATGTTTTTCACACACTTCTTTTAGACAAGGGGAAATGGCATTCATCATGGAATGTCCTCTGAGAAAGGTTTAATAATCCAAGTGAATCAGCTGCAATACAGACAATATCCAACACTGTCTATCCACCAGGGGAATTGAAAAGATTTCGTCTGCCACCTGCAGCCATCCTTTACTGCTATTGGACCTTCTCAAGGAGATCTGGAAGGGATACAAGAGGGTTTGGCAGGAAAAGCAAGGGGAAGCTCTGTTGCATAACCTGAAGTCTACTTGCATGACCCTGCACAGGATTGCAGAAGTGCAACAACACATCAAGCACTGGTTACTACAGAGCAGCAATGGACAAATCAATCTAATTCTAGACTGTGCCAGTTTCATTCTGAATGTATTCTGTTCTGTTTATACATTAATTTGCATGATTCTTTTAAAAATCTACATGTCTCCAGCATGGCCTTTACCAGATCAGCACATGGGAACTGCTGAGTGTGTGGGTGTGGAGAGTGGCTAAGTGTCTAAAGAATACTTCTGAACAGCAATTATTTCAGGTTCAGTGTTGAAGTGTATTTAACAAATGTTGGTTTTCTTGGAGTTTACCTTCATTCTGACCAATTTGGTAGTACGATCTAACCAGTTTTATTTCAGTATCACTCCTTGTTCCCCCTTTTTGCCAGTAACATGATGTCTCAGAAGCCTGAGGCCTGCAACCTCCTCCCAAATACTGGCAGGCTAAAGGACTGCTCTAGGGAGATTTCCAGAAATCTGAAATGGCGGCCCTAAATGGCGGCCCTAAATCCAATGTCAGTCCTAAATGCTGCTGAATCAATGAAACTTGTGTTAGCAAATTCCCATTTATTCGGTGGGACTAACGATTGGATTTAGGCCATTATATCTTACTTCACAACTTGCCTGCAGGGCTCTATAAAGGGGCTTTGAGTTTACAGGTATATTATACCTGTCAGACTTGCTGCTCCTCTGAGATAAAAATCTTTGTCTTCCTGCCCTTCTTCTTCAGAATGCAGAGCTCTTGAAACGGCTGTCTCCAGATCACGGCTCAAGTCATAGTCATGATCCCATTCCAAGGGGATGGAATCTACGCTAGCAGGAGTGTCCCTCCCTGACCTTTCACTTCGGAGAGGCTGGGGAAGGGATAGGGAGAGATTAGAGGAAGGATGCGGAGAGAGAACACTGTCTGCAGATTTGTCATGCCAATGTATGTCTGAAAGATCTGCTGATTCGTCCAGCTCCACTTCCCGATCGGACAGGTCATGTTCATCGTCTGTGAGCTAGAAGGCAACATGAAAGAGTCCATTAATATATTTCTCAGCAGACCACATCTTGTTAGGTCAATAAGACACAAATGTCACTGTGAAACATTCAAACTCAGTTTTGCTCCTTTCTTTGCTGATTCCCTGTTTGTTTGCTTTTTCCCCCTTAAACAAATCAGATAACTTTAATAAAAATAGCTATATAAAAACTTGTCTTAAATGGTTAGGGCTCATTATTTGTTGTCTAACAGGTAACAGTTTCTTTCCAAAAGATACTATCTTCAGCCAGGCAGGACTTTGGAACCAAACTGTAGTGGCTATAAAAAGATACTAATTTAAACCAGTACTAGCTCAATTTCTTTCATCTTTTGAGAACCAGCATTCTCCCATTGGACTATTTTAGTTTGAATTCCATTTTTTCCCTCTTCTGTACTTCTTTTTTCCACACTGAGTCTGAGGAGTTGAAAAGAATAATGTCTGTATAGATATAAAAGTGTATCTTTTTTTCAAGGGAACACAGTGAAGTTTCTATGGAACTCCTTATGCAATTCAGGGCAGATCTTGTTCCTCTAATATTGCAACTTCATGATGATGCACATACAGTTTAATTACATACTCCAGACCAGCCATTCTCAACCTTTTTTTGGACACAACTCTTTTAGGAGTTCTTCTCAGGTACCAAGGCTCCCAGTGAAACAAGGATACAACACGAACAAAAGAACAGGATAGTAGAATATAATTTTTTTAGCCCCCTTCAAATGAGCCACCACCACCCCCCATTGAGAAAGGCTGCTCTAGACCAGGGGCATCTCAGGATATTTTGGAGCACAAATCCTATAATTCCTTACTAATAAACAAGTTGGCTGGGTTAAAAGGAGTAGTAATTCAAAACATCTAGATGGCATCCCACAGAGTGCTAGAGCCTCACTCTGTAAAGTTTTTGAACAATTACATTATAGGAACTATTAGCTGCTTGAAAATTAAAGGTTTTGGAAATAATTATGTTTGTTTTTAAAAATACATACTGGGAGGCGGATCAGTTTTTTGTGATACCGTTCCACTCGGCCAAAGACCTCCTGGCAGTATCGTCGAAGCTCATCAAGCTCTTCTTCAATGACAGATGCATCCAGAGGTTCACTCTTTTCTATCAGCTGCTCACCCTGGGCAATTATCTGCTCAATTTTGTTGTTGTTCAGTGAAATCTCCTGCTGAAAGGCCTGTATAACAATGGTGCAATCGTTGCTGTTGTTGCTATATGCTTAATTTCCAGTACATATTATCCCAAATCAAATGATTTGATTGAAACTATTATGATTTACATAGATTTTGTATGCTAAAAAGTATATGGAAAAATCATAAATATATATGAAAACACAAAGTTGCCTAAGCACCTCATTAGCCAAAGAATATGCAAAATTAATGAGAGAACTTTAATATTCTCAGATAATGTCCTACAGTGTCAGCTGCTGAAAGCCTTTATTTTATTATCATGACAACCGCTATCAAGAGAATGAACTGATATCTTTGATGAACAAATTGCAAGAATTTCAAAGAGATACCATGTAGTAGTAATGGGAGACTTCAATTATCCTGATATCTGTTGGGAAGCAACTTGTGTCAAATATGGTCCTTCCAAAGAATTCCTGGCTTTTGTAATTTGTGATAATATTCTACTGCAAATAATGGATGGCAAAACTAAACAAGTAGCTATCCTTGACTTGATTCTAGCCAACAGAGATGACTTGGTGGATGAATTGGCAGTAAGGGGAACTATGGAGGACAGTGACCATGTTCTACATGATTTCAAAGGTAACAAAAACAGGGTATAGCTACACATGTACGCTGGATGTTAGGAAAGCCAATTTCAATTAACTTAGGACAATGATAACTAAAATCCCATTGGCAGGAGATCCTGTCAGGAAGAGGAAACCAAGATGGCTAGGAGTTTCTTCTTAAGGAAATTCTGAAGGCACAACTACAGACAATTGCAACAAGAAAAAAAAGGTGGAAGACAGCAAAAAAGACCAATGTGGCTTCACAAAAAGTTAACAGAGGACCTGGAAAAAAAAGACACATTTAGGAAGCTGAAGGAAGGCCAGGCTACAAAGGATACAACAGATATGAGCCCGTCTTTATAGTGTATAAAGAAGCATATTTAGCAATGCTGATAAGGAATCTTTGCTTTATGTTATTGTGCCTTTATAGATTGTTTTTCTGTACCTTGAGTTGCTTTATCTTTGCTTGAACATCACACTCTGAGAAGTGTTCAATGTTAGTCAACTGTAGGTCCATCTCTGTTAGCCAGACCAGAATGTTGTCACGGGCTGTTTCAAACTCTTCACGCTGGCCAATGAAATGCTAAAAAAAGAGAAGATAATCTAGCCCTTACAAATTCAGCCCTTACAAATTGACATCAAACTTTAAAAATAATCAAACTAAACTATATCTACTCATATGAAACAGTTATTCTCTACACAGACACACATGCTCTCCCCTACACATATAAATCATTAGAAGAAATGAATTGCAAAAAGAGAACTACTTTAAGCCTGCGTAGAATGGACGTCACTCGCTTTTGCAAGTCATCCCATCTCTGATTTCCTTCGTGGACCATCTGTTTAAGGCTGCCAGCAGAGTCAGTGCGGTTCTCTCGGGCCAAGCGGCGATACTGCTTGTTAATCAGTTCCAGTTGAGTCAGACTTTCATGCACTTGTCGCTGAAAAGCCTATAAAAATAGAAACAACAAAATGGTCTATTAAGCCATTGGTTTCTCTAATGGCTATCTGTAGTTTGGTTATTTTGAAAAATCCCTTTAACTGGCAATAGTTCTACAGGAGAGAGATTATTGTAGGTGGAAGCTATTACCAAGGTATTTATCTGGGCATATACAGAGTAATGTATGCGATTTTCTATTGGTGCCACAATATTTCACAAAGAATAAATCTACTCAAACTTTTCTTCACTGAGTACGGACTACATGTTAATACTGGCATGACACTCAAAATGGCACCCTTGCGTGGACTCTTCTCACTGCAGGACTATGCAAAGGGTGTCTCCCTGCTGTGCTCCATAATGTCAGCCAGTAGAATACAGAATGGGAGACAGAAATGTACAATAATGTTGATCTCACATCAGAGGACCAGAAATGTAAATCTTTACTTACTTCACTCTCACAGGTGAGAACAAAATTATTACAAGTTTTCTCCCAGTGGTTTGGGGAATTTTTCTTATTAGTTTTTGAACTATTTCATGAAAAAAATGCACAGAGACATCATGTTTTGCTTAAAATTCTCTGACTTTCACACTACATCCTTTGTATTTTACAAAATGCCTTTACAAACATTCAACTTCCCCCATGAAATCTGAAGCTTTTTGCTATCGCTGCTCTGCATAAGAAAAATTTAGTAACCATTGTTTTTTTTCCTCCTGTGAGAGAACAAAAACCTAATTTTTTCTTATGCAGAGCAGTGATAGCAAAAAGCTTCAGATTTCATGGGGGAAGTTGAATGTTTGTAAAGGCATTTTGTAAAATACAAAGGATGTAGTGTGAAAGTCAGAGAATTTTAAGCAAAACATGATGTCTCTGTGCATTTTTTTCATGAAATAGTTCAAAAACTAATAAGAAAAATTCCCCAAACCACTGGGAGAAAACTTGTAATAATTTTGTTCTCACCTGTGAGAGTGAAGTAAGTAAAGATTTACATTTCTGGTCCTCTGATGTGTTATAGGCTTACATTGGACATGATAAAGTGAGAAAGGGCATGGGACTATTGATTCAACATTTGACCCATCTTATACTTTATGTTTTGAGACTGCAATATAAATGCTTCTTCAAAACATGTGAATCAGTTGTCAGTATATGGGACATCAAAATACTGTACTGTGGGCATTTAATACAGCCATAAGTATGATGACAAAAATGTATGATGACAAAAATGCAGCACTTCTTTCATGAAAGCAAAGGCAGTGTGATTTAAGGAGGGCCTCCATTAATTTGGACAGAAAACAAAGGGGAAGAGTTATATGATTATAAAATTATTTGCCTGCAAGCAAAACAGGCAGAATTAACAGGATATCTACTGTGGCCCTATAACATATCCATCTGGAAGGCTCAGAGGTGGGTATTGCTAATTTTCAGGGTGTGATAAATTAAGTTTGAGATTAGAAAGGAAATTTCCATTACATAAATTCAACAAAAGACACAGAGTGGTTGTTTCCCTCTTCTGTGCTCTACAGACTGGTGCTTTCTCTTGAATTATTTAGATGTATTTGCTCTGCATGACATTTTTCTGTATGTTAACACTTAGACTGGGGAACACCAAGATGTTCAACAGGGCCAGACTATAAAATATGATGTTATACTAACACTGCAGCTGTCTGATGAAGACATCATATCACATATGCCAGCCCCCAAAAATGTTTCAAACAATACTGCATTTCAATCTATGCTGTTTAGGATGTAACAAAAATAAAATGAAAATAATAATGGAATGCATGTCTTAGTATACACTACAGAAGGGCCACAGATTGATAGATAGGTAGATATCTTAAAAAATCGAAGGCAGGGGAAGGCAAACAGAGAAGGAAAACCAGGTGATTAAAAACATGCCAAATCCATAGTAATTTAGTATTAACAAAGCATACAAAATACATTCTATTAGACATATGTATTGGGAGGGTTCAGTAAATTTTAGCTGAATTGCTCTGTTCTACCCTTGAATTACTGAGTTTCACAAGCAAAATAACTGACAGACACATTTATGGTAAGCAAGAGCATACGGTTTTTGTTCCCATTTGTTTTGGTGATTCTGCTAATTAAATTGAAAATAGGCAGTTGTGCAGCAAAGCTGCAGCCAAGGACAAAAGAGAGCTATGTAATCTGAAACTGCAAAAATCCCTACTCGGTTCCTCTTACAAGTGAACAATTCAATTTAAATGCCAATTTGGAATATAGGATAGGTGTATAAGTAAGTACATTTAAAAGAAGAAAGGAAGGAATATGGCAAGCATAAATAAACAGGGATGAAAGATGGTGTGTAACAGGGATGTCAGTAAAAGAGGTTGCTCTTCTAGAGACAAAATGAGCCTGCCTCTGAATCTGTACGGAATACAAGGGACTTAAAACAGGCCATCCTTTTATTTGTTCAATCACAGTTGCTACTTCACCTGTTAGTAACTCTTGTACAGAGGAAGGACAGCTGTGCATGTTTTCAAGATCTCAGTGCCATCTTAAAAATAATGGGTTTCTGTACTGATATTACCAGCTTCCTTTAGTTTCTTTTGTAAATAATGGCATTTATGAACTAAAGCCTTCAAGTGAACTTACGTAGCTGGAATGTTTGAGCCTTCAACATCACCATGCCAGTTGTTCAACCATTTGCTATTACATTGTCCCTTTTCAAAACCTTTAAAAATAGCAGGGCTAGGAAATAACCAACTGCCTTATTTCAACTTACTGAAGTTATTCACTGGCCCTGTACTCATGATATGGGAGGCCAGAGAGCTGCATGCTGCTCAATCACTCTGTCATCAGCAAAAGGATTTTTGTTCTATGTCATCTGACAGCCAATAACTATCCTTCTCTGGTGGGTCCCTCCCAATAAACCAGAGAAAGAAACCAGTAACAAGAACATGGGTTCTTTCTAGGGCTTGTTGGAAGGGAACCAGTCATATAATGGAAACTACTTCCTACAAGATGGTAGGACTGCAAAGGAAAAGTTCCACAGGTTTGTTTACAACGTCCTAATAAAAGCCGGAAAAACAAAGCATACAGGACCAGCAGCCTGGTCTCTCCCATTTTTTTCACAACAAGACAAGGTGCTTGGCTGTAGAACCATAACTAGTTATTTTGGCACCTATGGCAAGTGGCATCATCACTCAACCACTCTGCCTGAGATACGAGTGCAAGACCTCCATGAGAAAGGAGAACGAGAAGGCCATGTGTCCCACGAAGAAAGTTGTTGTTGTTGTTGTTTTGAAAAAAAAAGGAAGTGAATATTCACCAAAAGGAGAACGAGAAGGCCATGTGTCCCACAAAGAAAGTTGTTGTTTTGAAAAAAAAAAAGGGAAGTGAATATTCACCGGTAGAGTCACCTCTAGATTTCAGTGGCTATTAATTTTTCATGCCCTGGGATCAAGCCCTGTTCCAGTTACATCCCTGCTTAGCATGTTGTATCATGCAAAATACACACGGTCTGAACCAAGGGCAATGGTTTGCATATATATGGTTTTGGAGAAATAAACCTGGGTCATTAATCATGGTTTTACATTATATCATCATCATCCTCTTCTTTTTCTTCATTTTCATCCTCGTCATCATTTTAGAACCACAGAGGCATAGTGGGGAATTGAACTCCCAACCTGTGACTCCATAAGCAGATAACTAAATCACTGTGCTATTGTTTCCCTAACAATAGCTAACAGTTGTTATTGGTTCAGATGAAATATTACTTTTTTCTAGTTCAGATGTTACAAGTAATAAATTGGTTGGAAATGAGAATGGGAACGTCCAACTTTTCCCTTGTGATTGAAATAAGGCAAAAGGGAAGCACACAAGAACATGTGAAACATTATGTCATGCTAAACTTTGTTTCAGCTTTAAATTAGATTTGTCCTTCTTGAACCCTTCAAAATTAGAATTATAGGAAGATTTAATAATTCTACTGCTTCTTTTAATAAATATTCTCCCTATCAACTGATATATACTTTCTGATTGAAGTAAAACAAGTTCAACTGCCATAATGGGATCAGCCAATATTATATTTCATAAAATTGGAACAAGTCACCTCAAATTTCTTCAGTTCTTCTTTAGCAACTGTATACAGTACACCAGAAGAACTAGGAAAAGCAGCAGTCCTTTCAGAAACGTTCAACCAGTCTTCAAACCGAGAGTAATCATCCAAGAACTTTTGCCACAAACGCCATGTCTCTTCAATTCTGAAAAAGAAAATGAGGGCAGGAGGAGATTCGCATTAATTAATTTTGGTTTTTTCATCCAGTTCACCAGCTGCAATGGGAAAATCATCCTGCACACTTAAGCATACCCAAGCAAATAACAGTTGTATTGAACAATAATTGGCTTTTAACCAAAGCTTGACAGTAACTTTGATTAACAAGCAACATAAATCGCTGGCTCAGTCCAGCTTGAGCTGGAATAAGACAGCTGTGAGTTGTTGTTCCCTCTCTTTATGTACTGCAAATTCTCATTTGGAATTCCAATAAAATCTTATTTTGAGCTCATTATAAGTGTACTGTAAACCAAAACATGAGCAGAAGTTGCCTGGCAATGCTATCTTCTTTATCCACAGCTGCTCTGTGATTTCCTAACACAAAAAATTATTTTCTTGTGTTGAAGTCTGCAATTAACCTGGTGTTAACCTGGGGGTCAGGAAATCCTGGAGGTTGTCCGTTATATTTAAAAAATCACATTAGCAAATAAATGAATATGTTTGTCTATATGGAGATGCATACATTAAACAATTCATCCTCAATGGAAACTCCGAAAAATTCCATCTGTGAAACGTCTTTTTATAGGTCAGCAGGTTCGGGGCTGAATTTTATCTAAAGAGCCCCATAGCTGCATTTCCACTGGAGAAGAGCCATAGGTTGAAGGAAGCATACATGATTTACATGCAAAAGGTCTCAGAATTATTAGCAGAAACTTTAATTAATACAGGGGGTTTGACAATGTGTCATTGCCTTTGGAGAAATCTGAAGAGTCATCTAAAGCAGTGGTCCCCAACCTTGGGCCTCCAGATGTTCTTGGACTACAACTCCCAGAAGCCTTCACCACCACCTCTGCTGGCCAGGATTTCTGGGAGTTGAAGTCCAAGAACATCTGGAGGCCAAAGGTTGGGGACCACTGATCTAAAGAATCACAAGGTGTAGTACTTACTTGAGTCGCCTTTCCATTGACATAGCACAGATGTTCCGCCACCTCCGGTCAAGGTTCCGTGTGGCCTGCTGGATGGAATCACATTCTGTCTCAGTGGCACAAGCATCGCAGTCATGAAGAAGAACCTCACAAAGGTTGAGGACAGACGCAACGCCAGTGCTGTGCTTTTCTATGTCTCTTTGCAGCTCCTGCAGGTCAAGATATGAACTTGTAACCATCTTAGATTTTAAAATGGGGGTGGTTAGAAATACGCAGCATAAGCAAGCAAGGCAAACAAGGATAGGAAAAACTAACTTAGTCTATCAACTGATGATCAACCGAAAGCTTTCAATGAATACTTACAAATCTCTCTCTCAGATTCTTGCTGGTTGTGTTTGAAAGTAAGGCCCAATCTGTGGTGCCATTGTGGGAGTAAGGGAAATTAGCCACTCCCAAGGCATACATGCAAGCATTCTTTTACACAGTTAAATGGCTTATTAAAAAAAGAAAAAGAGTCTTGTACTCAGGATGGCAAAAATATTTTTGTTTAAAAAGAAGGAAAAGAAAGTACATTTTGATCTTATTGATAGCAATGGAACAGATACAGAACCCAGGCTCTCTCTCTCTCTCTCTGGGAAAAGAAAGTACATTTTGATCTTATTGACAGCAATGGAACAGATATAGAACCCAGGCTCTCTCTCTCTCTCTCTCTCTGTGTTTAATTTTATGCTGAAAATATCCAGGACCAAATCACTCTGCCTTTCTTTCTGAAGTTTGGAATGATACTCCTTGCACAGTGAAATAAATCAAATTTTCAAATATAGTGTTCTCCAGCTCTACAATAACTGTGTGGTACACCTTGAAGCATCTTAAATATTTCTTTGCGGTGACTTGATTTGAAAACCAGAATTCTTTTCGTCTGATGTTTATCATCATTCTTCAAACATTCTGCTGGTGAATGACTATAGCAAGTAGGGTGGATAAAAATCATTTTTAAAATAATCAATTTGATTTAAATAAAAATTGATTATTTTATTTAAATAGTCCTAAAAATCTGATTAAAAAAAATAAACTGTGATTTAAATCAATTTAAATCAAACCCACCCTGGTAGCAAATAATTAGCCTAGGTTAAATAAACCTAAAAGTCTGAAATTCAGTCTATACACACAGTGAGAAGTGCTCATGCACTTGCAGAGCATTATTCCATAAAAGATTGAAAGTGGTTGCACCCCTGCAACTGCAGATCATAAAATAAAATAGATTTTTAAAAACCCAAACATTTCCAGCATTTCAAGACCATGGTACTTAGATACTACAGTAGCATCTGAAGCTTCTTCAGGTGCCAAACATCTAGGTCACTCCATAGACTACCTTCCTCAAAAATCCCCACCCATCTGGTATATCATACCACTCTGGTCGGCTAACAACAAAAGACCAGGGATGTGCACTGCGCCATTCAAAATTGAATTTACTGATTTTATTTAATTAAAATAATTATGCAGCCTACAGTAGCATCTGAAGCTACTTCAGGTGCCAAACACCTAGGTCACTCCATANAAGAGAAGAGAAGCAATCTGTTTTTTCTCCTGGTGCCTAGTAAGCAGCAAGGAGGAATGTTACTAGAGTGAAAGGATGAACAGGCTGAGTACTAGGGTGGAAGGAAGGAAAGACACACAAGAAGGAAGATGCTAACATGATCAAAGGGAAAGAAAAGAAAGAGCACAAGGGTTTTGGTGGGGAGTAATGGGTTTCTAACAGATGCAAGAGAAGCAATCTGTTTTTTCTCCTGGTGCCTAGTAAGCAGCAAGGAGGAATGTTACTAGAGTGAAAGGATGAACAGGCTGAGTACTAGGGTGGAAGGAAGGAAAGACACACAAGAAGGAAGATGCTAACATGATCAAAGGGAAAGAAAAGAAAGAGCACAAGGGTTTTGGTGGGGAGTAATGGGTTTCTAACAGATGCAAAATTGATACATGTTGAGCAAGTGATAGGGCAGAGGAAAGGAAAGAATGGGAGACAAGAAAAAAAGGGGGAGTGGGATAAAGAAAGGCCATGGAGACATGCAACTACAGGGTTGTAAAACAGGTAAAGCTGATACAAGCTGAAGAAGTACTGCTGTGGAGGGAGATGAAAACTGGTGAGACTTTTTTTTTAAGGAGGACAGTAAAAAGAAAAATTAGAGTGGGACGGGATCTAAGGGTTTCCAACTCCAGGTGGAATTTGCATAGGCCATATGAATAATGGGACAGTGAGAAGAAACAGCACAAGGGTTTTGGTGGGGAGTAATGGGAGGGACTGACAGGTTTCTGGAGAATAAAACTATGCAGTGGAGGTCCTCTCTATATCCTGCATATTCTTCCTCAAAGACATCCTGTGGCCAAGGGAGAGATTACTACAGGCAAATCAGTCAGACACCTGGTTAGAACAGCTATGGCTTTCTTTAAGTTCCAAAAGTAGTACAGAGTAAGATCAAGAATGAGATTACGGGGAGGGGAGGAGGATTTTTCTACCCTTGGAAAAACAAACATCATTGACTATAATTTTAATCTTTAAAAACAAATTGAGAGAAACAGGATCAGGGAGGGGAGGATGATAAGACTGCAGCCACAAAATGGTCCAATCTGTCTCCCACTACTATGTCTTTCCTATCAGCTGATTGCCCCTGTAGTTTGTTTTTTGCTGGTGTGTGTCTGTGTCAGCTAGACCAAGGATGTATTAAGGTACATATGTTGAGTCACTGTAGTGCAGAACGAAGGGGCAGGTGCTCTTCCTGCTCTTCATCACCATGTCATAGTGTACAGATGCAGAATACTGAGCTCTATCAGCATGATACTGGCTTCATTCACACATAATGGAAAACAAATGTTTAGCACAACCTCCCCCAACCAGGTGCTCTCTCAGTATCAATCTGTATCAACCTTAGGCAGCGGGACAATTATCAAGAACAATTGGAATTGTAGACCAAAACACCTAAGCAGCACCAGGTAGGGAGAGACTGGCATAGCTTTGTACAAAAGAAAGTAGAAAGAATTTCCCCCAGAAAGGGCAGAGTTTGTGTTATCCTCACACCTTCTCTTCCTCTTATATTCTGAAGAAATAAAAACAAACCAGAATTCAATTCTATGCAATCAGATTCCTAGCTTGTCATTACATGCAAAACAGGGATTATGGCCTTGTTTAGAACTGAATAGAAATCTAATTCACTATTACAGTACTATCACAACAGACTAGTGAAGAGAAAATAATTCATTCTTTTTCTTGGCTAAGAAGAGGAGAGGGAGGCAATGGAAGTCTGAGTTTTCTGTCAAACTCCTTTTTTGCTTATCCAGGTAGCCTCCAAACATAGAACTATGAGTGATCTTAATGCAGTTGACAGACAAAATTTTGGCCCCCCTCGCCTACAAAATTTTGCCCCCCCTCCTCTCTTCAACATTGGCTGTACTGGGCCCATAAAGAGCCAGGAACAGCCATTAGAGAAAACGCACATATGGAAATGGGGAGTGCCTGGATGGTTTTGTCTGGGTGTACGGGGAATGCCCCCCCCCAGAATAAAAAATGCTGGTCCTGGAGGTTTTCAAGAGTAGAAGCAATGCTCTCTCACACACTCTTTCTCTCTCTGAATTTTGATGGGATTTAGCGACACCTCAGAGTCCCTTAGGGGCCCACAGAAAGTTCCTGGGGAAATACCTTTATGCTGTTTAATCGTACCTTTGAATTACAACTTCTTGGCAATAACTTCTGAGATTATAAAAGAAGTATTAAATATGAGAATGTGACACAACATTAATTTTAAGCCAAAGTTGAATTTGCTCCCTTGGTGCCTTTATGCATTCTGCAACAATTTCCACTGTGATGTAACAGTAATTTGTTGTTCCTGACAGTTACAGACGGTGCGGGACATAATCCATCGCAGCGCTATTGGAGTTCTCCATGAAACTCATGTAGCGTACTCCCTGGGCATATTTTTCTGACAATAACATGCTCATGGGCATCATTAAGGAAGAAGATGAAGAAAAAATTGAAAGTTATTTTGGAAGGATAAGCAGGGAACAATATTTTGGTATGTTTATCAGAAACAGCTTCAGAAAGTGGTAGGGTCTGATGTGAAAGAAAGAACTGGGGTGTCAGATTAGGGAAATCCAGCTGCAAATTCCCACTCAGCCACAAAGCTTCAATCAGTATCTGATCTAAACCACAGGTTGCTGTAAGGATAAAAAAAATGGCCGGGGATGGGGTTTTCATATGCTCCATATGTACTTCACCTCATTCTCTCACTACCACCCCAAACAACAGTTATGAGGAAGAGGTAAGGGAAGGAGGTACCTGTGGCATACTTATGTGCAGCACAGAGCAGCAAGCACAGAATGTTTATGACTGTGAGAGAAGAAGAGGCTGACTTGGAGCTAATTCAGAGAGAACAGGAAATTTGGACCCAAATAACATGTTCAGTAACAAAGATCAACAAAAGACTGCACAGGAAGAAGTGCTGATGAATAAATATAACAAATTGTCTTAAACCACAACTGATCTTCCCTCAGAGAAAACAGATAGAATGAAGATTCAGCTCAGATCATTAAAGAAAATTAGATAAAAGGCATGCACTTTATTCCATTGGAAAATATGCACATGTAATCACCAAGCATGCAAGTTCCTTGGATCACACATTAATTCTTACTATGGGCCCTTGGTTCAACTTACATAGCATGCTAACACTTGACAGGGAATATCTGCATGATCCACAGGATCCACTGCCAAGATAATTAACAATATTGTTGTATGGTTGTTGTGGGTTTTTCGGGCTCTTTGGACGTGTTCTGAAGGTTGTTCTTCCTGACGTTTTGCCAGTCTCTGTGGCCGGCATCTTCAGAGGACTGGAGTAGGAACTCTGTCCATGCTCTGTTGCTGTTTGTTGGATAGTATCTATAGTTGTGGGAAGGGCTTTTGTCTTTTTTCAGGAGATAGGATGATCAGCATGTTTTTCTTGTGATGAGGGGGGATAGGGAGAGATTATCTGTCACTGTGATTGATGGGTGTCGTTAGCTGGTCTTTTTTGTGCAATGATCTCTGGCCCTTGTGGCTGGGTAAGAGTTCGTTGACCTTTTGCAGTTTGTATTTTTCAGAATGGGGTGCCAGGCCATGTTTAGTTTCAGGCCTTCTTCTTTCCTGTTGAAGTTTTGTTTATGTTTATGGATTTCAATGGCTTCCCTGTGCAATCTAACATACAGATTGCTGGTGTTGTCCAGTACTTCAGTATTTTGAATTTCATGTCCAGCTTGTTTAGGGGCATGTTCAGCTACTGCTAATTTTTCCGGTTGTGTCTCTCATGTTCTTTGATTCTGGTGTGAATGCTGCATTTTGTGGTCCCGATATATACCTGTCCACAACTGCAAGGTATCCGGTATACCCCTGCAGTGGTGAGGGGGTCCCTTCTGTCCTTTGCTGACTGACATTTGTTGCATTTTTGTGGTGGGTCTGAATACTGTTTGTAGGTTGTGTTTTTTCAAAAGTTTCCCCATGTGGTCCGTGACCCCTTTGATGTATGGCAGTAATACTTTATTTGTGGGTGGCTATTTTTCCTCTTGAGTTTGGTGTTGTTTTTTTGGTTTGATGGCTCTTTTGATTTTATTCTTGGAATAGCCATTCGCCTATAGGGCCCAATTCAAATGGTTGAATTCGGTGCTGAGAAATTGAGCTTCACAGTTCCGATTTACCAGTGTTTTGATTATGCCTCTTTTCTGTTGTGGGAGGTGGTTGGAGTTTCTGTGTAGGTACCAGTCTGTGTGGGTGGGTTTTCGGTAGACCTTGTGTCCCAATAGGAGGTCAGTTTTGCGTATGACCATGACATCTAAGAAAGGGAGTTGGCCCTCTATTTCTTTTTCCATGGTGAATTGTATATTTGGGTGGATGCTGTTGAGATAGTTCAGAAATTCTTTGTTGCATTCTTGAAGGTTTTCACGGTCGGGATCTGATGGTTGGGATCCATAGTTTGCCGGCCACAGAGACTGATGAAACATCAGGAAGAACAACCTTCAGAACATGACTAAAGAGCCCGAAAACCAACAGCAAAAAGCAATATTGTTCTTAGCCTTTTTTTTTTTTTTTTGGAAAGTGTAAAGTTGCTCCTACCAGAAGTCTTTCTTGTAGTACTGAAAAAGGGTAGATTTTTCAGCACTAACATTTACACATCTTTGAAATCTGAGGGTGGCAACAGACTCTTAGTAGGATGTCCTGTGTTATCTACTTTGAATCATCATGGTGCACAGCCTGGCAGTTGATGTTCTCTTGTGCTGAAAAGAAGCAAACTTTACCAGTGCTGTCCTTCATTTTCCTTACCTTAAATGTTGCCTCCCAGGCATAATTCACAGTTTTCATTTTGACTGGAGAAGCCATTAAAGAACTTTGCCCCTAGGAGTGAGTCATTCCCTATGTTCTCTTCTGACTCCTATGACCTCAGAGTGAATGCAATGTCACTGCATTTTGCTTACTTACAGAAACAACTGCTTACAAAACTTATCTATCACATCAACAGTATAAGGTGGGGAAAGAGAATATAAGATTGTGACTCCAACTTTTCTCATTAGTTTCCTTCCCCTGACTATAGAACAACCTCCCATAAGTAGAGCTTTCCACATGAAAATTTTTTGCATGGGTGACCTTGGCTGCAGAAACATCTCCATGAGCTTTAAATGAAAAATAGCTGGGAGATCAATTGAATGCATTAACATATTTGTATGTGTTATCTACCAGCAAATCACATATGACCTATGGTAATTCTAGCAAGATTTTCAAGGTGTGCAACATATTTAAGGAGTGGTTTTACCAATTCCACCCCCTAGTGAGTTTTCATGGGAAAGCAGGGATTTAAAACTAAGTCACCTAGTTCATCATTGCAGCTGTCTTATTACTGCTTCCAAGGAAAATCCAAAAACTTGAATGCCTTTTGCAATTAATATATAACCTCTCTTTTTGTGGTAGCATTTAGAGGCTCAGAACTAGGATTTAATTTATTTTGTCCATTCTGCTGTGACCTATTGTAACCAGCACTGAGTTCTCAGGACTGGATGTGCTGGAAATGGTCTTTGATAAAAACAGAACAAAAATAAAACATTGAAAGTAAGTAAACAGATTATAAAAGAGAAGTGGGTGAGTTAAAGCATTTTAAAAGATTTCTTCAAATCAGTTTTGTCGAGCTAGTTTAAAACAGTGCAGATTGCACAATGGCCAAAATTTGTCCCTTCTCTTCTTCTACAGTTTTCATGACTTTGCAAATTATGCATAAGCTTGAAACAACTACACATTACTTCCATACAGCTCATGCAACTCTGCATGCAGAGAAATTCAGAGGTGAGTTTAGAAACAACCAAAGTAAGAAAAATATTTGGCATTCCCAAATATAGACACTTTTTTCTCAAGCATTTATGAAGCTTGCAATATATGAATATGGAGATATTCTATTACACTAATGGCAGTAGTTAAGAGTGCCTCACAATTCACTCCAAAACTCCTACACAGTGAAAAGCTAATTTACAGCAGGAGCTGACATTGATGACATAACATTACAGTGCCTTACCTTTGGTTGGGAGGTTCAGTAAGCAGTTCCATGTTGACAAGATGTCAAAGCCAGGAGAAGGCTCTACCAGAGTAATGCTATAAGCATCACATACCTTGAAATTTAAGGGCATCTTCCTCTCACTGCCCTCTTGTAAAACTGAGCTGGGATACAGCAGGTCCATGCCTACCCCAGACTTGGATCACCCATATCAATATTCAATGGAGAATGTGGGTGTTCCATGATTTTTTTGCTCTTCTATTTCATATTTCCCTTTTACCTGCTGCTCATTTAGCTTCCTCTGAATCTCCTCGGAGTCACATGTTTCATAGACAATGGGTTTGGACAACTCTGACTCAATGTGAGCAAGCCAAGATCTTAAGATGCTCATGTTCTTGTCCAGTTGCTGGACTGCCACCAGGGTCTCCTTCAGCTTCTTCATCCTGCCAAAGTCACAAACAATGACATAAGCATACCAACAAGTCTGGCCATTATTTCCCTCTAGATAGGTACAAAAATTATAAACACATGCACAGACATATCACCAGCATAGAACCAATGCTGAACAAATATAAAAGTCAGTACAAAACTCTAATAAGCATTTCAGTGCTTTTCAACTACAATTCAAGTTCTTTGTTTATTGAATAAACATTTATGTCCACTGGTGTCACAGGCCTAGATGTCCCTCCGTTTGAACATATAGTTATTACATTAAACTGAATTGAAAGCAGGGCAGAAGAGTTAGGGAAGTTGGCCAGCAAACAGTTGGAGGGGGTGACATGTCCCTTCTTCAAGTTAACATTTCCCCCACCAATCTTGTTGCTTCAAGTATAGTGAAGAATTAATTGCAGTGATCTGAGAAGAACTTGGAGGGGACTGTAATTTATATATTTGGGGTGATTTCACTAGAAAGGCACTAGTATCCCTTCTGTGAAATTCTATTTATTAGTAGCAGCATATACAAATTTGAGCCATCCTTTGTTCTCCTGCATGTTCATAACCTTTCATTTTTGGCAATGCAGAGTTTTCACAAGTGTCTTGAGGTGGAAAGGAGGTGATCCCATAGAATCCTAGATTTATTTATTATTTCAGTGTACACAGATACATGGTTTTATAGTGCTGCATACTATGCACATAAACTATGCTAACATGCCACTAGGTAGCTCCGTCCTTGAGAAACATCTATGAATATTCTTGGCTAACCTAGAAACAGTTTTGTGAATCCGCAGTGGCCCTTGTTGGGTTCTCTTCAGAGGTTCACTGGTATGCAACAAAAATCCAGCAGCATAGATGTTTCATTGTCCTTGGAATGTAACCATAAAATCATGTTTTCTTTGTTTTCCAAAGAAAAGCCATCAGATTGCATAACCTATCTTCAGACCAATGTCTATATATATATATAGACATTGTGTCTATATATAGACACTGAATCATACACACAGATACAGGCAAATAAAAGATTGTTTACTGGCCAATTGTCCCATCAATGGCCTGTTTTTCTCACAACAGAAATTCACCAGAAATCTGACGGTGAGATGAGGGCCCAGTTATTTTAAAAGGAAAATTATCTGGAAGCAGAATGCATTCAATTATGTTTCGAAAGCACTAAGCTATTTGTTACCATGACACACATACAATGCACCCAAGCTGTCGAATGCTTCATTCTGATTTTCTGATAACTATTTTTGTCATAAAAGCAGAGAGCAAATGTATCAAATATTTCTAAAGAAAGATATGTTGTTGTTATGTGCCATCAGGTTGCCCCCCCTCAACTGATGAGCAATCTTCAAAATGTCTTGTTCTCAACAACTCTGCTAATCTCTCACAAATTCAGGTTTCTAGGGGGTCAATCCATCTCATTCTTTGTCTTCCTCTTTTCTTGCTGCCTTCAGTATTTCTCAGAATTGTTGTCTTTTCCAGACTTTCTTGCCTTCCCACGATGTGCCCAAAGTAGAGCAACTTCAGTTTCAACATTTTTACCATGAGATAGTTCAGGCTTGACTTGATCTAGGACCTGTCTTGTTTGTTTTTCTAGCAGTCCAGGGTATCCACAAAGATTTTCTCTGGCATCAGATTTGAAATTATCATTTTTTTTCCTGTCAGCTTTCTTTATTGTGGAGCTTTCACACCCATAAATGGTAATTGGTATTACATGACTGTGGATGATCTTGGGCATGGTCTTCAGTGACACATCTGTACACTTGATGATTCTTTAAAATTCTTTCATTGCTGCCCTTCTGAGTGTCAGTCTTCTTCTGATATCTTGGCTGAAAACTCAGTTTGGATTGATGACGGAACCAAGGTATACAAAAGCCTTAATAATTTCATTTTTTTTCATTGTCAGCATTAAAGTTATGTAGTTCTTCTGTAGTCATGATTTGGGCTGATTAATGTTCATCTGCAGTCTTGCTTTGGCACTTTCTTCTTTCACTGTCTTTAAAAGTTATTGCTGCTTCCTACTAGTAAAATGGTATCATCTGCATATCTTACATTATTGATGTTTCTTCTATCCATTTTCACTCCTTCTTCTGGCTTCATTGTCAGCATTAAAGTTATGTAGTTCTTCTGTAGTCATGATTTGGGCTGATTAATGTTCATCTGCAGTCTTGCTTTGGCACTTTCTTCTTTCACTGTCTTTAAAAGTTATTGCTGCTTCCTACTAGTAAAATGGTATCATCTGCATATCTTACATTATTGATGTTTCTTCTATCCATTTTCACTCCTTCTTCTGGCTTTCTAGTCTGGCTTTTTGTATGATATGTTCTGCATATAGATTGAACAGGTAAGGGGATAAAATGCATCCTTTTCTGACACATTTGCATATAGGAAACCATTCTGTCTCTCCATATTCATTCCTAATGGTAGCTGCTTGTCCACAATACCGGTTATGCACTGGGACAATCAAAGGCTGAGGCACATCTGTTTCTTCCAGAACAAACATAGTTTCTCATGATCTATACAGTCAAAAACTATATGATGAGAAAGTCCAAAATGCTGCTTTTATGAGCTCTCAAATAAGGGGTCAGAGGGGACCAGCCTCCTGACTGTTTTGATCATCTTATTAGCGATTGCTTTTAAAAGCTTCAGGGAAGAAGGATCAGAAGGTACAGCTTAATGATTGCCCTGCATTATGACGAATCCGCTTTATGATGATGTTTTTGCAATCACAATTGCAATCGCAAAACAATGGTCTAAATGGGGGAATTTCGCTTAGCGATGATTGGTTCCCTGCTTTGGGAACCAATTTTCACTTTATGATGATCAAAAACAGCTGATCGTCAGGTTTTCAAAATGGCCACCGGGTGCTTAAAATGGCTCCCCGCTGTGCTTAGGGACGGATTCCTCGCTATACAGGCACCGAAAATGGCTGCCGTATGGAGCCTCTTCGCTAGACAGTCAGTTTTTAGCCCACTGGAATGCATTGAACGGTTTTCAATGTGTTTCAATGGGCTTTTTAATTTCGCGTTACAATGTTTTCGCTTAACAGCGATTTTCCTAGAACGGATTATCGTTGTTAAGCGAGGCACCACTGTAGTATTTGTTGGTTTCATTAAGCAACCTCTACATTCTCTCCACAATCCAAGTCTGGTCTTTGCTCCTTAATAGGTTACATTTTCTTGGATTTGATATAGTAGATGTAAAAAGCACCACTTAGATGTACTCTCATCATCATTATCATCATGTGCTATCAAGTCAGTTCTGATTCATGGCAACCCTTTTCAGGGTTTTCCACATAAAGAGTACTTAGAAGTGGGCTACCGTTTCCTTCTTCTGGGCATGCCCTGGGACTGTGCAGCATGCCCTGTGCCACACAGCCTGGCTCTTCTGGGATGCACAGTAGGGAACTGACCTTCCAACCTCCGGGTCCCGAGACAGATACCTAATTTACTGACCTATCCAGCCAGCTGGATATACTCTACTTAGAGTCTACTAGGATAAATTAAATGTTGTATTAAAATACTTAATATGGGATAATATGAAATATCTCCACCCTTCGTACAGTTGCACCCTTTTCACATTTTGCTTATATTTGTTGCTGCTGGGCGTTGCTGGGCATCAGAGTCCAGTTCTCTCCCCATTCTCCCTGTACAGTCAGTATGTTCCTTTCCCATCCTGTCTAAAGAAGAAGCACAGTTTCCTGGTCTGATACACAAGAAAGTTGCTCCTTGCCTATTTCTGCTGCAGATCATTCTTTCTAAAAAGCAAGCAATGTCTATAAGAAGATCCACAGTCATGTATTCCCACCATCTAAGGGTTATCAGAACACACTTGTGCAGCAAATTTGCCACTGATAAGGGAGCTACTGTACCTCTACTCTTAAATAAAATAAACCTACATCCATAACACAGAGAAGACAGCTCTCTTCTGTATATAGAGGGAAGAGATAAAGGCACAGCTCCTTTCTTCATTAATTTACATGTAAAACTTTGGCAGGCAGACTGGCTATTTGGTCCAATAAGTTTTTATATAACTGAAAATTATAGCTTATTCATCTGTTTTCCTTCAGTGGCTCAGACTGAATTATATCCATATGGAGTCCTAGAGTACGTAAGCTGTGCATTAAATTAAAATAGAACTTTAAAATAAAATCAGCAAGGAAAGTGTAAGGAAGATATATGGCACTTCCCTTATTTCTATATATTTGGCACAAGGTACTTACTGAGAAAGCAAACACTTCCTCCTCTGTGCTCTTCTGGAAGTATTTCTGGCTCTTTTTGGCAAAATATCACAGGCAGTTTGCCATTTCCATTTGAAGGGGAATGTGCAATAAATAGGTCTCCTTCAAGTTTTTTAAAACTTCAACTCAACTAAAGTTGCATATTGTAATAATTATTAGTATTATTATTTTGCCCTGGGCACATTTAGACTTGATCTGTGGATTTTAGCTGCACACTTCTTGCTTATAGGAGATTAAGTACTAATCATGTCAGAACTGTCAATGGCTCTTTATTCATCAAACACACAAATCCCTGAATGAAGCCAAGGAACATAATTTTTGCCCCAAACCGCATGGAAAAATAAACCAGTGTCTGCTGGCATACTCCATCAGTTTTGCTCACCAGCCTGAATAGAAGGGTTTGTGGCATTTGCATGCCTGCAGAATATCTAATAAACACACAGATGCATTGGAATATTCATAAATGCTAACTCTTACAAGAAAATGATGTGAAAGACAATGATACGCAAGGTACTGTTGCATATGACAGGCACAGTTGCAAAAAGAGCAGAGTGTAAACATGTTCTCTTTCAGAGATAAATGTAACAGAAATGTTCTTAGAGAATTGCACTGATTCTGAAAATCACACTGTAGGCTGTTTTAAGAAATTGTGCTAAGTTCCTTTGCTCACTAACAAAGATCCCACATTCAAAATAGAGCTCATCACATGACAGGTTGAAGTAAGGCTGTACAAATTTAGAAACCTTGATATTAAGTATAGTAACT